TCATCAATCACTCCAAATTTTAATTCCTTCATCTTAACCCCTGCTGCTATCCATTTTTTAATTCCAATTAGAACTCCGCTTGCTCTCCCTCTTCTTTTAGATTTTACTACCGCTTTTCCTCCCCATTTATGCTCCTCTCCTGTATTTTTCATGAAACTTTGCATTTTTTCCTCTTCTAGCCATATCTCTTGTAATATAATGATGTCATATTCCTTGATAATGCTCGATTCTTTCCATATGTTTTTGGATCCAGCGCTATTCCAGTCAATTCCTGTAATCTTCCTTTTCTTCCCTCCTTTGTTCCCTCTATTGCATTTGTTACCCTCTTTTTTCCACTCTCACCATACCCCCCTCTCTCTATCCATTCATACCAGGTCCTCTCCACTATTATTTTTTGATGGCCAGCTACCGCATTTCTTCCTCTTACCCTTTTCTTCTTCTCAACTGTGCCTATCCACTCCTAAATTACTCTTTCCCTTGCTGTCAGGTCGTCTTCTATCCTAATGGCCATCCCCTTCAATTTGTATCTATTTTTAATTATATCTAACTTGTCTTGTAGCGTACACAATGTTAGAACCGTCCCTTCTCTAGTGGTTTCTGATTTGTAAATCTTGATTGGGGTTTTTAAGAGCATCTGCAGTTCTTCTTTATATATAGCTAACGCTTTCTTTTTCTCCAGCTCATCATTCCTCTCACTAATATGTTGTTTTTCCTCGCTACTTTTCCTTCCTTTCGTATTCTCGTTCCGTCTCCGACATCTTATCCGGCTTGGTCTTGAAACTTTCCATCTTCTGTTCTTCCCATATTGGTGCTACCACACTTCTTTCGGGTTTATTATTCTTTTCTCTACTTTTTTTCTAGGTGCAGTCTACGTATTCCCTCCTCGAAATCCCTCTGAGTGTATTCCCTTTCGTTACATACTTTCCTTGCTCTTGAATCTTCATCATCTTCATTCCTTTTCCTTAGTTCCCTTTTTTCTGTTAACTCCTCTCTTCCACACTGGTTTCTCTGTCCCTCTCTTTCCAGTTCATCAATCCTCTCCTGTAAATTATTTATTTTAGAATCTTTCTTAATTACTTCCCCCAAATTTTCTCAAATCTAATTTCCCAATTTCTTTCAATAATTCTCATTTCCTTCCTGCTTTTTTTGATTATTTTCTATCATCCCCTCTAGCATTTTATTTTTCTTTCCATTTCATTTTTAAATTTGTCTATGTCAGCACTTATTTCGTTTCTTCTTCTTTTTCTTGTAATCCTCTCCTCTTTATCTGCCTCACTCGTTCCGTCTTTTTCCCGTAATCTCTCCTCGTCCCAGCGTTTAACTGTAGTTTCTCTATCCATAAAGGTTTCTTCCTTATCTGCCTCGCTGCAATTGACGGGTTCTCTCTCTTCCTTCTCACTCTTATCCACGTTCGGTATCTTCATCGATTCCTCCTCTTCCTTATCGACTTCTTCTCTCCTTTGTGTTTTTTCTTCTCCTTTGTTCTCTCCCTCCTCTATGCTTCCTTCTTTAACTTGCTTTTCTTTGTCTTTCCCCCCTGTTTCCTCCCTCTCACCTGTTTTTAACATAAATTTCTTTATTCCTGTTTCTTGTGACTGCGAAGGCACCTGAGACTACGTTAGCCTCGACATACCTGAGAGCTATCCGGATGTAGCAACCCAAAATTGACAATTTGTAAAATCAAAAAAGTTTATTGTAACTTCTCGAAAACATTCAGATGTATTCTTTGGCCAATTCTAAGCAATTTGTCCTTTTAGAAATTCTTTTTTAAAGTGCTTCGCTTTCGAGAAAAAAATTCATGAATGTTTCGACAAAAATTTTGTACTTCGGGCATCATTTTTAAATCTTTAATTTGGTCATACTGAATTCTACATCTTTTATCCTTCAGATTCAGACATAGCGTTCACGATCTCGACCGGTTCAAAGTTAACTCCCAGCCGGCAACTCTTTGAAAACTCCATTTGAAAAAAAATTTTTCTTTGGTAATAGTGATGTTTTTGAATGGTATCACCAAGAAAAGCATACCTTAAACTATATGAATACACCTATTGCAATTTTTTTCGCCTCGAAATGCAATAACTGTGAGCGCTGGAAGAGAGGTGTACAAAATGTGTTTGGCTGGACGTTAATGGATTAAGTATTCGTTGAGTTATATAAAAACAAGCATTAGTACTCAGTTTTGGATATATTATTGCATATTTAATATCAAGCTTTGCCATGGATTTTTCAAAAAACTACAATTATATCACACAAAATGCTGTCCATGCATTTCATTATAATAATGATCAATGCATTGGCTGTGTTGGTATATTTTACTATAGACATAAAAGTACAATTAAGTATGAAAGTTGAATCGTACTATTCGATTTATGAGTTAACATATGATACAGCATATGTTCATTTCATGCAAAAATCTACGATGTCTGAAATTGAATTCTACACAAAAGTGAAAAATAAATTTATTTTAGTAACGGTGAAAAATTGCATTATAAAAAAAGTTTCAAATGTGTGATCTAGTCCATCATTGCACCATAAAGAGAAATATGATATAAAAGTTGAATGGCACTGTTATCTAACAGCTCACAGGAAGAGAGTTTATAACGAAGTCAGTGTAATTTAAAAAAATGAAGCGATTCGGACAATTCTCTAAGTTGAACGTCCAGTCTCATATTCAACTCAATAGACTTTTATTGGGTAAAAAAGAATTTTCTAAGGATAATTTTTTTTTATTATGTGAAACCGTTAAAATGACAACTGAGATGTGTTTTTCTTTTATTTTTATTATTTTACGTATCACGTTTTCTAATATGATGAATATACATTGCGTTGTATGCAAACGAACGCTCCACTCATAACGAAGAATCAACCACGCACGTGACACAGACCTCATTATCGAGCGACTGGAACTGACGATAGTCACTTGACCAAATACGGTGATATGCTGCCGAAAAATCTCTTTGCAGAAGCATATCGCAGAAGAAAGCTTTCCTCTTCCGCCTTCTAGGGGACGATTTTATATATTAGCTTGCCCAAAACAGGTCGAAGGGGAAACACGTGCGAGGTTGTTATCGAGGCTCAGCTGAAAAGTGAATATTCCTAACTTTACAACCACACAAACCTAACCGCTTACCTTAAAAATTTTCTACCTTAACATACTAAATTTTATTATTTCGAAAACTACGCGAGTTGTTGCTGAAGATTTCAGGTGCATGTGAGACGTAGATTTATGAAAATCTGCGTCACAAAATTCTAATAAGAAAAAAATAAGATAAAGTTTTGAACGTGTTTTGAACTCAGAAATTACGGAAGTTACAGCACATATTAAATATAAAAATTAACTATTTAACGTAAACCTATAGTACATCTTATCAGTAACTAAAAAATCCAAAATAGACAAAAAATAAAAAATGTAATGAAAAGAATACAACCTTCGTAAATTGATCCTGAAGCTTTCCTTAGGCTGTTGAATGCAAACAGCTTTTTATTCATAAAAGAAGAACAATATCAGGAATATCACCTTCAACTTGCTTCTATCGACTATGAAATTTTTAGAATTAACAGATCTGCTCCTTGTGAATTTCAACGAATTTTATTATCTATCTTATGAAATAAATAAAAAAAAAGAAAACTATTTCAACACAACGATGATTTTCTCGAAAGCCGTTTGGTTAAAATAAATTCTTAAATATAAACTATTTGGCCGTGATCAGTCATCTAGAATTTTAGAAATCTGAAAACGGATATATGTTCAATGATCTCAAAAATCTCTAAAAATAGATTACCAACCGATATCGATTCTTTTCCCTAGAATTAATTACGTTTGTAAGTTTCTCAGCGCTATACCATATACGCCATATTGAATTCTAAAAATGTGATCAAAATATATCTTAACATATTTGACTCGTTCCTACTTGAGTTATTATATTCAACTGATTTCATAGAAAAAGATCTTTCGTTTAATTATTACAAATATGTTGCAACGGTAGTCTATTCGATTAATTAATCCGTTCGCGATTCGGTACACTAGCGATGCTAGAGCGAACGATTAAGAGAGAGGGCGCGCGAGAGTTTAAAAGTTTTCAGTTAATTCTCAGCTGTTACTGGAATAGTACCGCCAAATTAGTTTTTGCACAATGTTTCGCCAATTCGCTATTAAAAAGTTTACTGGGATTTTTCCGTGCGAGTGATTAGAAGCAGCAGTATCACAGCAGCATCAAAACAGCAGCAAATTTGGAAGTAAGCGAGGCAGCGCAGCTGATTTAAGGAGCACCGTTTATTCTCTTCGACAATTACGGCTGATCACCGTAATTGCACCGCAGGGTAGCTGCACTTCTCTTATATTACGCGACAAAATACGATTGAGAGTATTTTGTCTATCGCGATCGTTATTTTTTGTATTCGCGCCGAGCGTTAGTTTTCGGGGCAAAAGTTTGAATTCTCTCTCTCTCTCTCTCTCTCTCTCTCACCGTATTATTATTAATCATTGTAAATTCTATTCGCGTGTGTTAGTCTTTCAGCCCGTAAAAGACTATAGTTTATTTGAATTAACCCTTAACTTGCACACCTCATTTTGGCCACGTAACTTCTCGGTGGGGTAAATCTACCCCACATAACAGTTAAGGATTAAACATTATTAATTTTATTCGCCGTATTACGTCATTTCGTTTCCTAATAGTTTAACAGATCTATCACGGATTAAATTTTAATCCGATTTTATCTAGGGGATTAGTCGGATTAAGGATTAGGTCACTCACACCTGAGATAGATCGAGTGTCACAAGTCAGGCGACTTAAGGTGAGTTCAACTCGGTTGGAAAGAAGACACTGAAACGAAAGTATGAAACGTAAAGGTGAATACACGTGTAACTATACGTATTTAACGAAGCGGCGGTTAACTCTGCCATCGTGGTAGTTTGTTCGTCAATAAATCCCTTTGTATTAGTTAACCCACCCCGTTACAATGTTTATAAGAAGAATTAAGCGAATAATAATAAATCTTACGTTGGTGTAAAAGGATGTAAAGAGGTAGCGGCTGCTGCTGCTGTAATGGAGTTTGGATTCCGAGTTAAAGCCAAAGCTGCAGCAGTTGTAGGAAAGGCTGTTCTTGTTGTACCTATTCGTCCCCTTTGAATTGCAACTCCCCTCAAAGCAGCAGCTGAAATATATATTACACATGTAGTAATATCAATATCAAAATAAATTAGAGAATAAAATTGATTGAGTTCAATCTACATAATTTAAATGTACAAATAAGTATTATTGTTATTCCTATTCGTGGAAATATACGAATAATAATAATTATATTATTTGTATATTTGGTCTATATTTTTATATATAAAAAGTAATGGTAGACTTTACTATTTTTTTCCATTATAATAAATCCTCAATAATACGCGTACGTAATTTATGTGATAAAACCGAAAATTTATTTAAAACTTTTTATTCAAGCAAGCTACACTCATAAAGTAACACCTGATGCGAATGTATTGTTGTCATGTGTCATTAAAATCAATATATGATTAATTTCATCGAACCTTTAAATTTTTAGGAAATACAGTGAGATAAGTTAAAAATTCTACGTTTCTAGTTAACAAAAAATACTTCAAACGAAAATTGCTTGATGCCAAGAGGGATATGTCCTGATTTATGCACCTATAAATCTAACTTCAAAATCATGCCACGAATTGCAGAGTGAAAAAACAAAGCTACTCATAGCATAAATAAAATTAAAAAAAGTAGAAGTAATAAAAAGCAAAATTATTATTGATGAAATTGCAGAGGTAAGCAAGGAGATAATAGAAATGAACAAACTTTTTATCATCATAAATCTGAATTTAAAATTATAAAAATTGAAAACAATTTATTAAAAAATTTGAACACCGTATTAATGGAAAAAAATGATCTAGTACGTAAGAAAACTGAACTATGAATAGAGAAAATGGAACTAGAAAAAAAAATTTAATGTCAATAACAAAGACAAATAAACTAACCTATGCTTGTGTCGTGGCAAGTAATCAGACAAAAATCAGTAAGAGAATACCTAAAATTATCATAAAGAAGAAAAATAATAATGACAACATCATGGCGGGGAATTTTGGGGGGTCTAAGCCGCGCCCATGAAATATTTTCGCCACAATGCCTGTTTGGATCGTTTCCTCCGACCGATGATAAGGGCGCCAGACCGCCGTTTCTTGGTTACGGCGATCATCGGGGATAAAGTTGGAAATCGGCGCGTAGGTTTATCTGCCCACTGTGCGACTGCGCACAGTCATACCGATAACTTTTTTTCAGCCCGCTCCAACAATCAATGGTTAGTGCTCTCTGTTCTCTCCACGTCCTCGAAATACCGGCAGCTCAGGAAACAACTCCTCGTCTCCGGTCGAGGGTTCGATAGTTAGCGCATGTCACCTAACGTTTGGAACTAATAAATAAAAAATCCTCGCTACAAACCTTCCGCGGCTGAAAATAAAATCAGCATGCAAGGAGGAATAAGTCAACGAGGCATAAATAACAGATATCGGTTACACTTCACTTTCCTTTATTCCCTTATTAGTGTACATGTCGGTCAAAATGGCGAATGGTCAGCGCGGTTCATTACGACAGTTGATAAACGGCGGCAATGGATTCACACGTCCAGGCGAATCACATCTGCAACGAACTATGGGTTCAATCACCTACTTCTCAATGGCGAGCAGCACTTCACCGAGTTATCCAAAGTCCTAAATTAACTTACGCTTGAGTCGTAAAATAATACAAAGAATCACTGCATTGTTGGAGATTTTAATATAGATATTTTTAATAAAGTCAATAAGATAAATTTCGATACAATTGTAGAGCAAGAACACATGAAAAACTTACTCGAATATGAGTACATTCCTTGCTTTTTGGGAATAACAAGACCTGCTAATGATAGTATTGGAAGAAGTTATAGATAACTTTTTTATTAAAAACACATGTATTAAATATACTGCACATAAAGTCAAGAACATTTTTAATGATCATTACCCAATTTTCATCACAATACATAAAATAGAATCTAAAATGGTGAAAGAAACAAATAATCTATCAATAAAGTACAATAAGTTAAAAAGAAATGCCCAAAAATATCACACAAACACTGTCCTGAAAAAATTATTAGCTTTGATAAAAACATGTGCAGACAATGCAGTAATAAAGAATACAAACAGCAATAAAAATGACAAAAATCTAAATAGAAAAAAATTGGATAACTAAGACTACCATGACATATAAAAAAAATAACTAAAAATAACTTAGGGAAAAAAATCCAAAAAGCACGATACTTAAGGGCAAATATAAAAATATACTAAAACTCTAGATAAAGTAATAAAAGATGCCAAAATGAAAATAGAAAAACAAAAAGTTTAATGTAATATTCACAACCTAAAAAAATCTAATAAACTTAATAAATACTAAATTAGAAAAAAACAGTAAAAAGGAAACGACTGCATAATAATAAAACATAATAATATAGAGATGAAAACCGAATCAGAAATAGCACATCATATGAATAACTATTTTTGTAAAATGAGACTAGAGCTTAGCTCGAAAATCTAAAAACAAAATAATAAAAACCTACACGTACCAAAAAGAAATATGGCATCTATATATTTATCTAATACAAATAGTGAGAAAATTGAAAAAATTTTTATGAAAATGAGAAACAAGGCAGGTGGAGTTGATGAAATAAATATAAGTACATTGAAAAGTATTATACATTATATAAAAGAATCTTTAAAATCCATATTTAAATTATGCATAGAAAAAGCAATCTGGCCAGATCAACTTAAAACCACAGAAGTGGTTCCGATTTATAAAGCAGGAGTGAAATTTGACGTATCAAAATGTAGGTCTATATCGCTAATATCGAACATTGCAATAATACTAGAAAAAATTACTTACAAAAGAATTTTTTCTTTTGTTGCAAAACATATCGAACACAAAATAATATCAAATAAACAATTTAAATTTGTAAAAAATAGGGGTACAAATGATGCATTGCATTACAAGTCTGATATTATATACAGGGACCTAGACAAAAGTAGACCTATTATTGCTACTTTTCTAGATCTATCTAAACCAATCCTGCTGGATAAATTGTTGAGACATGGAATAAAAGGACATGCTCTGGAACTAATGAAAAGCTACTTTTTCAAATAGATATCAACTTGTTAAAATTAATAATCACATGAGCCATATGAAAATAATTACCACTGGAGTTCTACAAGGAACAATATTAGGACCACTATTTTTCATTTTATATGATAATGATCTATTGGAAGACATGCTGGACATAGAAATAATATCATATGTCGATGACATTGTAATCATCACAAGTAATAATACATGGACTAAATCAGCTGATCCAGTAAATAATAATTTACAAAAGCTAGCTGATTAATTAGCATTAAAAAAATTATCACTAAAAATAAACAAAACCGTATATATGATTTTTGGAAACTACTGTGATAGCGTGCCTAAAATAATAGACTTTAAAATAAATAATAATACATTAAATAGAGTAACATAGAACAAGTATCAAGGTATTATATTTGATTACGATATGAAATGGGATAAATATATTAAATATTTAATAAATAAAACAAAGCATTTGATTTTAAATTTGTAAAATTGAAAAATATTATGTATTCAAAGACACTTATGATAATATATTATGCTTTCTTTCATAATACTGTCAAATATGGAATAATTACTTGAAGTAGAGTATATGCAAATAATCTAATTCTGATACAACGAATACAGAACGAAATATTAAAAGTTATAAAGAAATATAGTTTTTCAAATGCAGAAAATATTCTTATAATCAATCAAATTGTTCCAACTAGAAGCAATAAATTACCATTACGATAGCCTACATAATACTTACATGAAAACGAAAAATATAATAATAAATAAACCCATACATCTACCTAAATTCAGCAAAAGAATTAGCGATAAAAATAGTTATCTAGAAGCAACCAAAATTTTTAATAAATTATCAACAGAGCTAAAGGATATAAAGGGGAGCAAAAAGAAAATATAAAAAACAAATTGAAAAAGTACATACTAGTATAGAAAAAATTATTGAAGCAAAAATTAAGTGCAAAGATTTGAATCGAATACTGAAAACGCGGTATCTAAATCGGTATCCTACATCGAAAGTCCACGAGGATACAGATATCCAAAAAAAAATCTTATATGTAAGAAATTGTATTTGTGTGCAAGGAAACTGTAATCTGAGTAACAAAAGATGGCATCCTAGAACAACAAAATACAATTACAAAAAAATTCAATCAAAAACTAAAAAAGAATTCGAAATCATAGTGAATTTGCCAAATGACTTTATAAAATCATGAATAAATGAAATAGAACCACTACAGCAAGTATACCAACACACACAACAAATGGACAAGAGTCTCAAGACATATGTACGAGCCTTACATGTTCAAATAGATACAGAACCTGCATCTAATAGTCCGGCATACAAATCTATTGAAACAGTATTTGACAGAATAGACAAAATAGCCGAAAAAAATAACATCAAGGCTCTAACCAGGATAGCACAACCAGCACCAGGTATGCCGATCACACAAATTAACGATATGAGAATGACGTACAGGGATATAAATTACATTGGCAATAACCAAGCAGGTTATAACTAAATTAAGTTTGCTTATAACAGCAGTACAATACTGCTGAATATAAGTAAGCGAGATAATATCTGATTAGTAGATAACAATATTATAAAACTGTTAAAAATTTAAATATATGTATTCTATATATGTTGTCCGTAGTATGTAAGTTTTGTTTATGTATCCAGCCTATGTACAGGTAACTTGTTTACCTCTTTAGGCAATTACAAATGTACATGGAATAATCCATGAACTTTTTATTTTTGTGTTCAATTAGTGTTAAAATTTTAATAAATAAATATGAAGTATTTTCCGAGATCGTTATTTGATAATACGAGTTGTGTTCAAAAAGTAAGGAGAATTTTTTATTTTTATGAAACAATATTTATTTATTCATCAATATTTATGTTATTCCATTCAAAGTAATCCCCTTCAGATATAATACACTTGTACCAACGTTTTTTCCAATCCTCGAAGCACTTCTGGTGAGCACTTTCTGGTATAG